CACACACACACACACACATGAATAAATCGAAAATTAAAGAGGTGTTTTTAACTTTTTCTGAGTGATTTTCAGGTTCTGCACAGCTTTGCAGACGAGCACAGAAACATTCCCTACATGCTCAGTTATTGTTGCTTTTACTGCTCGCACACTGGACGCTTATCTTAGTTTTGATCTGAGAAAACAAACAGCCCCCTCTGCACGAGGTGCACCATCACCAGCTGTAAGGGTACTGGAACCAGTGCAGTCGTGCTCAGGCCTGTTCTCCCAGCTCAGCTCCCAGAGGACACTAGATGTGAAGGTTAGTCTCAAACACTGAAAAACCACCAGAGACGAAGATAACAGGAAAAGCTGAGGAGGCTGAGAGAAGCCTCTGTCTTATTGTTTTGTCACATGTAACTGTTTTCAGCTGCTGTCACACATTAAAGACGTCTCTGTGGTGATTAAATAAGAGGGACCATGAAGGTTTAATGTGGGGATGAAGTCAAACAACTGTGTGTGTATTTGCCTTTGTTTCATGTGCAGTGTGTAAATACGTTTAGATTTGCATTCATGATCAGTGAGTATTTATTGTGGAAACCATTTGGCTCCAGCCTGACTTTCTCTGGTTTTCCATGGAAGTTTCAACATGAAGCTTTTCCCTGAGGCTGTTGTGCCGCAGCACCAATCGCTGGTCCTATCAGCTGAGTAAAGAAGCCATGAGACTAACAATCCTGCTCAGCAGAGGAAACATAGAAAGAGCTCTTCAGTGACGTTATGGTTGTTTTCACACGAGTTGTTTATGTGACAAATATGACTGACAGTCTTGACCGACCGGCTTCCTTCACTTAGCATCTGTTTGTTGTCACTTTCTCTGCACAGCTGCACGCTGTTTGACCTGCTGACCTCTTCACTGTTCCTCCTATCGGGCCTGCATGTTTATTGTTCAGCAAGCGAGTGAAAACAGCCCTTGATTTATTCAATAAAGAACAGCAAAGACTCCCTTATCGGCCGTTGCGAAACACAGTAAAGCTGTGCACACCACCACACGCTGCGTGATAACAGCTCGTGGCCAAAGTTTAATGTTACACCAGGTTGAAAAATGTTTTCATATCTGTCCTGTCTGATGATTGGATGATTGTTGTTACCCGCGAGTTCAGAAAGAGAGTGGTACCGTTGCTTAAATATTAACAAGCACAAAAGAAGCACTGTGTCGACACACACCGCATTTACTCAACAAATCTCCTCTTAAACCTTCAAAGATACAAAGTTGCAACATGCTGAAGGGCCTGTTTGATTAGGCTCATTGGAGCACGCTCCAGATGTTGTGTGGTTATGTTTCCAGAAGAGCCGAGGTTAAAAGGACCAAAACATAATGTAGTGACGTGAAAATCATCCAAACACTATTGAATGAAAATAAGATGACAGACAAACAGGTTTTACACTGGCTCAGTCAGCAGCACCTCTGCTTCTCTCAAACTTCTAGATCCAGAGAAGCTCAATTTGATTTGTGACTGACGTCCTTCAGACTGAAGAGCAGAGCGACCACCCAGCTTCTTATCAGAGATGCATTTGTTCCATATCGTTGCTGAAGGATAGCTGCAGGTTTGGGAGCAACACATGCATCCAGCAAAGCTAAACAACATCCATACCTTCACTTATTCAGGCTCACAAAGAGGCTGAAACCTCGACCGGCGTTTGTAGGTCACCACACTGTCACAGCACAGGTCAAAAACAGGCCCATGCTTTATTCACACAGACTGTTTCAGAGCTCCTTCTTGATGTGTGGTCTAAAAATGAGGATTTTACAAGTGTGTCATTAAAATATGGGCCCAGTGGACACCACGACGTGGTCAGCCACATGTGTGACATGCTGTAGGCAGAGAGGAGACTCTGTGTGCACTTTGTGTCTGCTGCTTTCAGATAAACGAGATATGAAGGGTCATACCTCTGTTTTCTTCTCCCACTCTCCTTTACACAAGAGGCAAAAATGACTGGAATCTGGATAAAATCTCACCCCGAGCCTCTCCTCAGGCTCGGGGTGACTATTCATGTGATTTGTCGTTCTTTAGATAAAACTGAACTTAACACACAAACATGCGTAAGCATGCTCATTTACTCCTGATACAGTCACAGTTGCTGATTGCAGGTGGAGAGCGAGTAAGTTGTTCCTCTTGCGACAGACTGAGCTGGGACGGCAAAACTGGGAGAAGTGGCTGATGGTGCAGACGTTACTCAGGAATAAGAAGCTCGCTGGTTTCTGAGAACAACTGGGCAAAGAAAACAGGCGACACAGGCACAAGGAGAGCAGGACGACCAAGGAGGCCTGACTGTCACCATGTTGGTGAGAAACAGGTGTGAAGAACCCGTCCATGGGTGGATACAGCAGCTCCACCTTAGAGCAAAAGACTA